CTCGGGTTGTGGAGGAGGGCTGTTTATTTCTTTAACAGCCTGGCGCAGTTCCTGCGTTGAAGTCGTTAGACTGCCAAATAGGAGAGTGAAAAACAAAAAGAAGACCATTGGGCTGGGGAAGACTCCCTCAATCACTCTGCTGGGCGATGCTTCTTACTCTACCTTTCAATTCCTTTGCCTTTCTTCTTCTGATCGATCCAATGGTTTAACGATGGGAATATAAAACGAATGGGCAAGTAAAAGTGTCCGCTTACCCAACTTGGGGGATTGTACATAGAAAATCCACCCTGTGGGTTGACGCGGAGAAATTCCTCATCTTCTCCCTTGTACAAAGCGGACAAGATCTTTATTAGAGCGGCAGCCGAATCCGGCCCCTTACGGCCGTGGCGGGTGGCGTCGTCCTCCCCGTTGAAGTCCCACATGGGGTGGCCTCTATACTGAAGCGGCTGCACCCCTCGCATGATGCATGCGGCCATGACCCCGATCATGGTCAGTCCGGAATGAGCTAACAATCTTATCCGGCCCATCAGGTAAAGAACGTCCTTGTCACTTTCCCTCTGAGGGCTCCGTGGACGCCAACTTAGGCGCTTCTTTAGGGGAGCACTATCGAACTCAGGGAGGCCGATCCGGACATGATCCCATAGCGGGACGTCCTCTATATAAAACCATTCCGAAGGCCAGTCCTCGAACGCCTTCTTTGGGGTTCCAAATAGATATCCGGTCCCGGCGATGCCCACACTTCGGCTCCGCCCACTTGATATATTGACCCCTTCTGAGAACGGGGCACAAGGCAGAATAGCCTTTTCCACAGCGTGAAATGAGCCTCGCAGCCCAAAAACAGCTCGCAAAGGGCTACGAAGCCCGCGATATGCAATATGGAGGCAGGCGTGAGGTTGTGCAGCTAGAGGCCATAGAACTCCAGGAGCCCCTGGAGAAACGGATGAATTGGAAATCCGAGCCCTCTTATTAAGTAAGGGACAAGGCATACCCGCTCTCCTTTGGAGGGATTGGGGGCGCTCTCCGCTTGCTCTCCGCCATTATAGGTGGCAAGTCCGGCTCGAACCGGGACCATATAGGCCGGGGGGAGAAATCCCTTGGTCTGGAGCGTCACTAGCTCGATGTGCGGGATGGAGCATCTCTCCCAATCTCCAGGCTGAGGGCTGGAAGGGCGAGAGGAGGAGCTGCGGCGGCCGGTCATGATAGAATGGACCTCTGTCGGATATGCTCTGATGAATACTCGCGGAGGGGAGAAGGTGTGGTCTGGATCTAAATCCTCGTCCCCTTAAATAGGCGGCTCATTCACGTGGCTAGGGGTGTAAATGTAAAAACACCCTGACTTTTCGTATTCGTTTGACACGTGGAAGACGGCCATTATTGGGCGTAGAAGCCAAGGAGCGCTACATTTACAAGAAACCGGACATTATTCGACAAGTACACGGAATTTGGAGGAGAACCCGCCTTGCAATGCCGAAGACAATCTGCGCGCCGGATTCGTCGTCATTGAAGCCTGGTTCGGGGGCTACTGAGGGAGTCTTGGATTAGGGGGTGTCCGGATAGCCGGACTATACCTTCGGCCGGACTCCTGGACTATGAAGATACAAGATTGAAGACTTCGTCCCGTGTCCGGAAGGGACTTTTCTTGGCGTGGAAGGCAAGCTTGGCGATACGGATATGTAGATCTCCTACGATTGTAACCGACTCTGTGTAACCCTAGCCCTCTCCGGTGTCTATATAAACCGGAGGGTTTTAGTCCGTAGGAACAACAATCATACCATAGGCTAGCTTCTAGGGTTTAGCCTCCTTGATCTCGTGGTAGATCTACTCTTGTACTACCCATATCATCAATATTAATCAAGCAGGAGTAGGGTTTTACCTCCATCGAGAGGGCCCGAACCTGGGTAAAAACATCGTGTTCCTTGTCTCCTGTTACCATCTGCCTAGACGCACAGTTCGGGACCCCTACCCGAGATCCACCGGTTTTGACACCAACATCGTGGTTTGCCCCCCTCTCTTCCTCCTCTCCTGCAGCCCACGCCATGCAGCCTGTGTTCTGGGCCATGGGGAGGGGTGTGACTCTAATCCTGAGAGAGGCAGGGTCATCTCAACATCTTCAGTGGGTGTCCTGGAGCGTGGCGACGATCATGGCAAAGCGTCGAGTGGTTTGGTTAGTCGAGATGAGGGTCCTGACAAGCGGCGCGTCTTCACACCAGCAAAATGTAGCTCTATCTTCTCTGGCGCCACTTGGATGACAATCTCGTCTAGAACCTATTTTTTAACACAGTACAGACGTGGACGCACATGAGGCCGAGGCGAGGCCCTGGCCCAGTCATTTTTCGGCTCCAGTTATATGTATCTAGTACCTTCCAGCAGGGCCCCCGTCAGTCCAGCACAGAGGCCCCCGCTCTCCTTGAGAGACACGGATGAAAAGAATGCAAAGGTAGGGAGAAATGTGAACCAACTTGTGGTTGGATGGTTAGATGAACAGTGGTATCCCCACTCACTAGGGTTTAAGTTGTGGTGCTCGCATTTATTCTGAATTTATTTTAGAAATTTCAATGATGCGCGTTCAATGATAGGAGACTTTTCCGTCGACTACGAGACGTCTAGATGATTTCGTAAAATCTCAAGATGATATGTTGGTCCAGTCTTTTGAATTAATGTGCTCATGGGGATAGAATGCATGTACTTATAGGAATGAGTGTATGGACATGTGTCTGGGCGTTTGCGTGCGAACTGCCCTTTGGAAATGTCTGGGCGTTTGCGTGCGTACTGCCCTTTGGAAATCACGAAGCGATCAAAGCAGAAAACGGGGAGACAAGCCAGCGGAGAGGCGAGACTCGAGAAAAGAAAACCGCTAGTACCCCGACGATTTATCGGTCACGGTCGTCCTCCGACGATCGATCCACCGAGTACCCGCCGGCTGGCCGCCGCCCTTGAAGAATCGCGACGTGCAGCAGAATAATCCCAGTATTGTCATCGTCACGTGAAGGTAAGCATAAGTGCACAACTGAACGCACAACGCTAGGGTTCTTGACTTCTTTGTAATCTTAATTTCTGCATGTTATTATATAGAATTCCTTCTGGTACAGCTTGGTTGTAATCCAAAACTTCTTAGGATTAGTATGACGCATAACTCAAATTTCTATACGGTTTCGGATTTTTCTCTGTGATGCAGTCGTAGCGTCCGTACTAGTACTTCTTTTTTGAGTTGGTCCATACTAGTACCAACCTGTTGCTACTCGTATACTTCGTGCATGAATTCGTACGGTTATTATTTCAGTTATTTTTCACTGAATAAAAAAATGTGGGCGGAATATTTCACTGCTCAATTTTGTGTATTGGTACGGTAGCGTAGGCCCGGTCTAGCTCCAGCGAACTTATATGTAATATATGCATGCTTACGAACTTATGTGAAGAAGAACTATCTATGCGAGCGAGCACCGACGGGTTTTTGCTTAAATTTCTCGTGGGAAACAAGTTTTTTTCTAAAATTTTACGGGTTTGGATACAGTTACTGTTCTGCCGCGGCGATTTTGAGCCTCCATAAACGCCCCCGTGCGAACTTCGGGGTAATGCGGGGTCTGCAGAGTTGCTCTTACGATCCAACTAAACGTTATGTCCTGTTGTCTGTCCTTTGGTGAACGCTGCCTGATGGCTTTATTTATAAAGTTGGACTGATGCCTTTTCTCCAAAAATAACTAAACTAAAATAGAGTAAAAGACAAACTAACAAGACATAGTTAAAAGGAATCGTTGGACACAATTACTAGTGATGTGACTATGTTTTTTTGACATCGTTTGTTTTGAGGTTGCATGGTATGTGGCTATATTTTTCCGCAAAAAGAAGAAGAAAGATTTCAGGGACAAAACAAATGTAATAACTTGATGTCTTAATAAGAAATACTCCCTGGTGATCCAAACACTCTTATATTTCTTTACACAGGGAGTATAACTTAATTCCCTACGTATTTCCTTTGTTTACCACTTCGATTTGTATTTATATGACTCACCCTAGCAAGTGGCAGGTGGATTATGTACTTGGAAGGCATATTCTGTTTTGTAACTTATGAACTATTGGACATTTCTTTGTCTAAACAGAGTTGTTCATTCAATCACTTTATTGATACATATGTCCTATTACTATAATATGAAGGACTTTGACAAAATCAACATATAAAACATTTTGATATTTCTAGGCCTATATGTACATAATTTTTCCTTCACATGGGTGCCCCGGGTCATTTTTAATCCTGGATCCCCCCTTGCATATGTATATACACTCATCTCTATGAACGCAGACATGCACATTCTACTCTTATGCGTGCATCTGAGAGACCGAGCCGACACATCATCTCGAGATTTATGAAGTTACTATAGACGTCTTCATGTCGATGGGAACGTCTACTCCCACTGAATATACATCACCGAAAAGCCTGAAATAAACCCAGAAAAATATGAACACCAGTGTCAAGTTTAGAACTTGAACCCTGGTGGGCCGAGAATATCATTGTCATCCCAACCTTCCAATCACCTGTTGGTGGCTAGATCCACATGTTCGTCCAAATTTGTGTTGATGTATGACGAGGCTGGTATTACAATATTTACGCACGAAAAAGCAGTTTATGTTATGTGTAAATAATATGAAACATGTGGACTCAAATGACATTTTTCATGAACACACTTAGGGATATTTAGTTATTGTTCGTGAAGTATATTAGTATAAAAAATAGTGAAAAAAGTTGATTTATCTATGTGGTATACAGGAGTATGAGTACTTTTTTTTACAAATGTACTACTCCCTCTGATCCATAATAAGTGTCTTAGTTTTGAACTAAAGTTAAAATAATCTGAGTTCACACTTATTTTGGATTGGGAGGGAGTATTTTTATTTATTTATGTGGTGGCACACTTTGTAAATAATAATGCATGAAATGGTTCGGTGATTGACGACTTAGGTGGGGGTCAACATTCCATTCCTCCCTTCGTGCAATGCAGGGAAGACTACGTGCAGCTTTCATTCTTGTCATCACTTGGGTTGCTCCCTTCATGTAAAATCATCTTCACCCTGTCAAGCACCTCCTGTATCTGCTTTCTGGAATGCAGAGGAGAAGGGTACATGCACGCGCAATCCAGCTCGCCATCTCTGATAGAGTCGAACACGCCGATCGACGGGCCGATGCCGTGCACGGTGGCGCAGCAGACATAGTCCTCCACGCCAGCCTTGCTCTGCAGATCAGGCACGTCGAAGGTCGCCGGCTCGTCGAACACGGAGACGAGCGCTGTCCGGAGCGCGGAGGCCGTGGTCAGCTGCGGGTTCTCGATGGCCCGGCACATGACGAAGTTGAGGTCGCTGATGTCGGTGAGGTGCTTCTTGTTGTTCCTGGCGTTGCTGTGGGCATCATGGCACCTCCTGGCCAGCGCCCACAGCCCTCCCTCTCTGTTTACCTTGTGGGTGTTGGTGACACCAGAGTAGAAGAACCCTGCAACGATTAACAGTGAAGAATTTTCTCCTAGACAGTCTTCGGTAGTAGTTTTGCTTCAGGGGCTCACCAACGTTGTGATCGTTCAAAGCTGGCTCAAGAAACTCGCGGCAGTTGATGAGGGTTGCAACGGAGTACGTCTCTTGCTGGCCGCTGCTGGAATGCTTCCTCGATTGCCGTGCAGCTAGCATCGTCGCCGCAGCCATGGCTGAGCAAAGCCTCACTCCGTTCTCCTTGCATGCCTAGATGATCGTGTGAAAAGAACCAGTGATCTGTATGGTGCAGTACCAATGTGTGTGTGTGTGTGTGTGTGTGTGTGTGTGTGTGTGTCGTAGAAGCAAACTCACATGGAGCAGCCGCGTCGTGTCCTCGCGGCCGAACCGGAGGCGCACCATGTGCGTCGACCTGGCCGTGCCGGTCTCCTCGAACGGCAGCGTGGAGGCGCGGAGCCCGTCGAGGGAGTAGCCCACTATGTCCACGCCACGCGCCCACAACGGCTTCCGCGCGTCCTTCTTCCGCATCCTCTTCTCCAACCCCGCCTCCACCGCCGCCGCCTCCTCCTTCACCTCCGGGCCGCCAACGCCCGCGCCGCCCAGCAGCGCGAGGAGCTCCCTCAGCAGCGCCTCGGACGCCGCGCGGTCGCACACGGCCGCGTGGATCAGGACGAACAGCGCCGCGCCGCCCGCGGGCGGCGGGAGCTCGTAGAGCGCGGCGAAGAGCACCGGGGCACCGTCGGGCCCGGGCGCGGCGGCCGCCCACGGGTTGCGGTTGATCTCGCGCTCGAGGAGGGAGTGGAAGTCGAGCGCGCATGGCTGGGGCGCGAGGCGTAGCTGCGGCGCGGCGGAGGGGAAGGCGAGGGTGGGGCTGGAGGCGGGGCCGCGGAGGTGGGCTCGGAGGACGGGGTGGGCGTTCTGGAGGGCGCGGACCGCGGCCTTGGCCGCCGCGCCGCCGCGCGAGAGACGGAGCGCGATGAGCGTGGTGCCCGTTCCGCCCGGCACGGCGCGGCAACAGGTGTACTCCGTGCCGCACACCGCGCGCGAGCGCCACGCTGCTTCGCCGGTACCGGAATCCATGCTGCTGCTGCTACGGAGGGTTGGTCGGTTGATGTTGCGTCGGGTTACAATGCCGGAATGGAAGACCGTGCCGATGGATGGCGGAATGGCGCGACATTTATAAGACTGCTCACAGTGGGAAGTAAAATAGAGTAGTAACTTGCTGATGTTACTAATCTACGTTACTACCTTTATAGTGGATAGTAACATATAAGTGATATCATGGAAAAGTTTATTTATTAGGCTATAGACTTATTATGTCTTGAAATATGTGATGTTACAGTAACTAAATTACCACAAACCCCTCTCTCCTTATTAATTAGCTGTCACATAAATAATTTTGTATTGAAATATGTAATGTTATTAGTTAAGTTACTTTCATTGTGACTACTCTACTAGCAGCTCCAAGGGCAAGACCGATCCACACGCTTAGAAACATTAGCAGTTACTACAACGGGGGGAGAGAGAGAGACAGGTCGCCTGCTTCGAGGCAACGTATAGGACAGCATGGGCACGAGAGTGGTCGTGGCACGGAGAGGGACGTCCCAGGTGCTATACTTTCTGCTATGTGGCTGTCGACCTTAAGCGTGCTTTCTGCTGTACAGTAATTAACTGCTAATGTTCCGCCGATGTACTCGAAAGACAGGTACGCATATCTTCCACCCGACGGCTGCACCTGCTCAACTACACGGACACCGACTAGAGCAACTCCAATAAATGATGCAAATTTAAATATGTAAAGTTTGGTGTTATATAATTTACATTATAAATATAAAAGTGTTTTTATTCTTTTTAAAAAGTGTTTTTTTTGGAAAGTATCAAACGACCAACAGGAAATTCATGGAAATTGAACCCTCCCACGTCGGGGTGACGGGGTGGGCGTTCCCGGCGCCGCCGTCAGCACCCTCCTCTCTCTCCATCCCGCCTCGCCGCCGCCAGTGGATGCAGCGGGAAAAGCCTGACCGGTGTCGGCGGGGCGTTTCGCCTTCTCGCGCAGGGCGTCCATCACGAGGTGTTACGCCTGGGCCGGGACACCGCGATGGCGAGGGTCGCGGTGGTGCCGCGGCGCTCAGGGCTGGAGGCGCACGACAGGCTTCAAGATGGCCGATTGTGCATGCGAGGAGGAGGCGGATCATCGGGATCCGTCCCGATCTGGCATACATCTTCAGCCAGCGGCGCGAGCTATGTGTAGCGCGGGCCGGTGTCCTCCGCCGTGGTGGTGATGGCGTCGACGTGGTAGAGGCAGCGGTGTGGTGGCGGTCCTAGTGCTCTTATCGCATCACGGCAATGATCTGCATGATCGATCCTCCTCGATCTGGCCGTCGACGTGTTCCAGAACTGTAGCGAGAGATCTTGCCCAAGGATATCTGAATGGGATAGAATCCGATCGTGCGCGTCCATATCATCCTACGCGGCTCCATGGGGGCACGTCGTGAAGCTATGTTATTTGTTGACACCATGGGACATATGTCGGTATCTTGATTTTAATGTCGTAGATGGCGGTAGAGAAAGTCGTGGTGGCTGAGATTGGAGGGCCAGTAAGGCGGAGGGGGACTTGGAGGTGATGGAATTAGTTAGGTTTTTGATAACTTTCACAAGCAATAGTGACAAGTGGGGCATCAGCACTTGAGGATTTCATTTTTGATGGTGCTCCTCGAGTGGCGAGTTGTGACTTTCAGGATGAAAACCTAAGGTCTGACATTCATTGGTTGTGCCTGGCAATGGCCTTGCTGAAGGTATTGCTCTAAGCGATCAGGCTTTCTCCAGGGTGAAAACATAAGATCTTAGATCGAGCAACGACAGCGTTTATGCACTGTTTCCTTCTTGAAACTATCACTTTTGGAGACTTTTTATGTTTTTCGGGTATCGTCATATTTGTGGTGGTTCATGTGTTGCTGCTAAGAGGAGTTGATCACTGTGGCGATGCCTTTGTTTTTTCTCTTTCTTTTTTTCTTTTCTTTTCGGGTTGTGTGCATCTTGGATGTCTTTGTGACATCTTATGATGTGCAGAGACTGGGTGTAATTGATATCTTCGTGATATTAATATGTCCCTTAAAAAAGTGTTCTTAACATTTTAAAAAAGAATCAACTCCAATAAATGATGTATATTTGGTGATGTACAACTACTACTTCAATAGATGATGCATATGTGAAGATGTAAACTGGTCGATGGCCACGCGGCTAGCTACAACCGTATTTCGAAATCAAAATCATCATCATATAGAGCAATATTTTCATATTTCTACAACCGGATGTAGTTGCCATCACCGTTGACAACAACGAATCAGCCGAAGAAGCCACGGTCAGCTTCATCTTCTTGGCCGCTCAAGATGGATTCGTCGTCGAGTTGTGCCATGTCGGCTGTTTCACGCCTCCACCGCGGGGTTTGGCCACCGGCTGCTTCTTCGCCGGCGGTGCACCTGTTGCCGCAACAACGACCGGCCAGGTGGGGCAAAGCCAAGGCGGCGGGATGGGGGTGGCGGCATGGCGGTGGAGGCCGGGTTGGTAAGGTGGTTGCGTCGGCAGCGGCTACAACAAGGTGGGACCGATCGGTAGTGGCGGAGGGGGCGGCGGGGTCATATGAGTCAGCCGTGGGCTGGGCGGCGGGCAGAACGTAAATAAAGGGCGATTGGGCATTCGCGCATGGCAGGCTATTTTACATCACTGGAGGAGGTGATGTATTTTTTTTCATCTATATCACCTTTTAGAGCAGCGTTTTGGGGCATTGGAGATGTAAAAAAGTTATTCATACGTCTGCATTATCTATTGAAGATGCTCTTAGGCTCCGTGTGGAACTGTGAATGGAGTCAATTGCATAAAACCATGACTAATGCTACATGTACGGAGATTGCAGACAGGGTAAATTGATGGCATGGGACGGGGTAAATCTATACCTCATGTAATGCACGTAATATGTTTGGCAATTGGTTGCGGGATATAAATATTTTTTGTACATATTTTTGTGAGAGCGTTGTTTTATGCCGGGCATTGTGGCTTATCAAAAATGATGTGATTTTTAATAATAAATGTGTTTTTCTTCTGTGGAGGTTATTCTACATTTACGCGATGGCTTCATACTTGGTCTATTGTGCATAGGTCGGAGGACAGAGACTTTTTATGATGACATTTAGGTTTTCCCTCTTCATAGATGACGGTGTAATCTTCAGATAGAATTTGCCTCGTCCTAGGCTGAATCAATTTATTTTTACTGCAAAACAATGTTTATTTTTTGATCGTTTGGACCTATTAACTATGTGCATCAAGTTATACAGAGACCGGATATTCTTTTGATGCGATTGTATCATCCTGATAAATCCATTCAATGAAATGTCTTTTATCAAAAAGTAAAATTAGTTATGGAATGGGCCCCACCAACAAATTCAAGGGGCGGTGTAGATTATTACGAAGGGATACCTCTCAAGTCACAACCCCGTAACCATCCCGTAATTACCCGCAAGTCTAGGATTACTCTAAAACCATGAGTAACAATAATATTATACACACGAACTAATATGGGCATTTTACTTAATTTTTCAAAACCATAACTCTCTCCCTCTGATTTTCAGGGATGGCCCCTTTCCACCCGCTGATGGGGTCATGTACCTAGGGTAGGGTCACTGACCTGATCTAAGTACCCTGCCCAAAGACACCCTTAGAAGAGGTCACCTTCCAGTCGACCAACGAGGGACTCACTCGACTGACTTGAAGGACTCGACCACGAAGACTCACTCGACCACCAGAAGGGCAAGAGGCACTCTGCACTGCAACGGCCTGTAATTAAGTAGACTTTATGATAATAAAGACACTTTATGTGGGGCGTTACCAGTAACGCCCCAGACTTAACTCACCTTAAACCCTCTCCTACGTGGGCTGACTGGGGTCCTGGCGCACTCTATATAAGCCACCCCCTCCACAGGTAGAGGGGTTCGGCACCTTGTAACTCATATACAGATAATCCACTCGACCGCCTCTGGGCTCCGAGACGTAGGGCTTTTACTTCTTCCGAGAAGGGCCTGAACTCGTACATCCCTTGTGTTCACAACCTCTCCATAGCTAGGACCTTGCCTCTCCATACCTATCCCCCACTCTACTGTCAGGCTTAGAACCACGACAGTTGGCGCCCACCGTGGGGCCGGTGTTTTAGCGATTTTGTGGGGAAGTTGCGATTCTTCCGAGTAGTTTCATCATGGTGGCTGCTGGAGTTTTGGTCGAGGGTCGAGAGATCCGTCTCGGCGCTCTCATCTTCATCGCCGACGACTCCGCCTGGCTCCAGGAGGCTCCACTCGACGTTGATGCGCTCCCCGTCCGCGGTGCGACGCATTTTCGCGCATGTGTCCGCGGCGTTCTGCTGCGGCAACCGTCGACCCCGTATCGGTCGACATCCCCATCGACCACCTTCCCGGTCTCCCGCCAGCGCAAGCGCTCGGGCCGGTCGAGGATTCAGCGGTGGGTGAGGCACGCGGTGGCTCGCCAAATGGCCACCACCCAAGTTGCAGCAATCGAGCCCGACGAATCTCTCTACGGCCTGTTCGATCTGTCGACTGGCTCCGTAGAGACCGCATCCGAGTGCGATAGCAGTGATCCGGCGGCGGAAATCCTGATGGTCGACGGGCCCCGCAGTCCCCCTGGCTTCGCCCGTGATGGTGGAGCAGGCGACGAAGGCGACCCCGCACGAGATCACGAAGAGTACCAGCCCGAGCCACTCGACTCTCTGCAAAGAGAAGAACTTCGCCGCAGGAACGTGGATGTCCTGTGTACTCCCATCGCAGGAGAAACCCCCGAGGCTCGCCCCTTGGAGGAGGCACGTTTGGCCAATTTGGCCGAACGCACTCGACTGGAGAATCTTCAGCGAGCACTCGACGAGCGTGCGCGGCAACGAGTTCCCGACACCAGTCGACGTCAACTCTTCCCGCCGACTCAGGTATATCGAATCCCAATCCAGAATTTAGCAGCTGCGACCCGTATAGCAGAGTCCATCCAGCCCTCTTAGTCGGAAGCTGGCAGAGGCTTGATGCAGATCAGGGATCTGCTCCGGGCAGCAGGAGACCAGAATTCGGCCGTGTCGCAGTCGCGCAACAGAATTCACAGTCGATCCGTCGCTGCGAATACGGTTCAGTCGGCTCACAGTCCCAGATCGCCTCCGCGGCATGAAGGGCGCGAGAATCGGCGAGACCAATATGGTGACCGACTCGACCGAGATGATAGGCGTCGAGTACCCAATTCCCCTCCGAGGGGTGGGTCTTACGCTCCTCGGCAGCAAGATGACAGACGTCAGTTCAGTACGGGGCGAAGAGTTCCAGTCGACCCCAGAGAACCAGGCTTCGACGCGCGATCCATTATCGTGCAAGGTTTGGTCGACCGGAACAGAGCCCATCGAGGCGGACTCGACAGAGATGCGCCCACAAGCAGTCGAGTGCATGTTTCTGGTCCTGAATGTTTCAGCAGAGCTATCAGAGCCGCAGTTATCCCTCCCAATTTCAGGTTGGCAACAGGAGTCAGCAAGTTCACTGGTGAGTCTAAGCCTGAAACTTGGCTTGAGGACTACCGAGTGGCAGTTCAGATTGGTGGTGGGAACGACGAGGTGGCCATGAAGCATTTGCCCCTCATGCTAGAAGGTTCTGCCAGGGCATGGTTGACTCAATTACCTCCTAGCAGCATTTACACTTGGGAAGATCTGTCCCGAGTGTTCATCAGAACATTTGAAGGAACTTGCAAGCGACCAGCTGGACTGACAGAGTTGCAAGTCTGCGTGCAGAAGACCAATGAGACTCTCAGAGAGTATATTCAGAGATGGATCACTTTGCACCATACTGTGGAGAATGTGTCTGATCATCAGGCAGTCTGCGCCTTCAAGGATGGTGTCAAGAACAGAGAATTAAGTTTGAAATTTGGTCGAACCGGTGACATGACCTTGAGTCGGATGATGGAGATTGCTACCAAGTACGCCAACGGCGAAGAAGAAGACCGATTCCGAAGCGGCAAGCACAAGCCGAGCCAGTCGGAAAA